TTGGCAAAGTTGTAACAAATTTATGTAGGTTTATAGACTTATATGTACAAATTTAGACTCTTACACATACAATGATTCTGACAGTTGTCTTACCCCATAAGGATGTTTTATGGTGATTTCCTGGGTTTTACAGGTGGATGATGCAGTGAGTCATCACAAACACTGCCACCTGATGGCCTGCTGCTGTAATTGCACCACATGTCCTCATTCATCATCTTTGAATGCTTCTACWGTCAGTCAGCCTAACTGGATCACCCAGAGAAAACCCACATGTGCAAAGAGAGAGCCTGTAATCTCTGGTCCAAAGCCAGGATTTGATCTGTGAGAGAGTACAGACATGTCTCCCCCTCATYCTGCTTATTCTACAGTTATTAAAGYTTATRTTTATTCATTTTAATCTGGGCRAAAYTGATAATTCATCACATTTCCACTCAGTTTGATTTKTATTGTTGAATTTATAATACATATTTCCCCACCACATGAGTCCATGTTATAAAAGAGTAGCTGCAGCATGTCAGTAACAGTCAGCTGCAATTTGAAACAACAGAACAAGAGAGAAAGATGAAATATTAATAAAGGGTTGGGTTTATCATAAATGATTAAACATATCAGATTTTTTTAAATATTAATAATTCTTAAATCTTATGTTCTTCTGAAGCACATGTACAAAATGTTGARAAAATTTGTCAGGAAGAAGTACATTTACTATATACTGTATATATAAAAACAACAAAACTGAGGCTCAAACCTGCAGCTTCAGGGTTATGAGACCATGGGACTGACCACGGAGCTACAGTGGAGTTTTTTGTTCTATACAAATATAAAAATAAATGCAAAGGAACTCAAAACTAATAAAAAATATATATAAATTGTACTGTAAATTCTAAAACAATTTCCTTTGTTAAAAAGGTAAACAAATGGTGACCAAATTATTTTCTCTGATATGTTCTATCTTTTGTCTTGCAGCTTGTTTCCATGTAACTGTGAAAAGTGAGACATGGCCAATGACCCGTGGAAGTAGGGAGTAGTTAGTTAGTGAATGAATGAATGAATGAATGAATGAATGAATGAATGAATGAATGAATGAATGAATGAATGAATGAATGAATCTTTATCTTCTACCACTGATTTTATCGGCTGTCAGGTTGCAAATGCAGCGAGAGACTCAGACCTCCATCTCATCTGAGCAGGTCTGGTCATACCTGGTCATGAGGGCCACTAATCCTGCATGCTTTACTTGTTCCTCTGCTCCAACACACCTGGTTCAGACTGTGTGACCTCTTTAAGTTCTGCAGAAGCCTGTCACTCACACACTCATTCAGATCAGATGTGTTGCAACAGACAAAGACTTCTGAGGAGAGGGGATTACCTAACCCTGGACTGGAGTTTACTGTTTTGACTCAGCTCTTCATTACAAACTCCTGGCTTTAGAACCTGTCCATAAACAGGTGATAAACAGGATCGGGGACGTGCCCTGAAGGAGTCCAACCTGAGCTCTTCGTTCCAAACATGCAGTCACAGATCAGAGATTTGTGACATCTGTCTGGGATTAGGATTGTGTGGCATCAGTCATTAAGCCGTCCCACTGCTTTAGTTTTAGGATGGCCCACGAAAAGACTATTATGTTGTTGCTGTTCTTTATTCACACACACACACACACACACACACACACAC